ACGAACGAGGCGCCCCCACCGCCGCTGAAATCCTGGGTTCGACTCCGGGTTTAAGCCGGCAAAACCACAGCGAATTAAACCGGGGTTCTCAAGTTCCAGCGAGTTGATTCTCTCAGCCGGTGAATTACACAGAGGATCCACAGACTCACATCGAGGGCCACTGATTGATAGTGTACCTGTAGAATTACATGCACTCTTAGGCTTACATAGAGACCCAGAGACCCATAGACTCACGCAGAGACCCACAGTTAGTTGTCCTTCCCCCGCGCCTCCGATTAGCACGGTTGGCTACGTACGGTGCGAAATAAGTTCAGCAAGCATACATACATAGAGGATCCACTGACTCACTTCGAGGGCCATTGATTGACAGTATTCCTGTATAATTACATACCCTCATAGGCTTACACAGAGACCCAGAGACTGGCACAGAGACCCATAGACTCACACAGAGACCCATAGACTCACAAAGATACCCATAGTTCGTTGTTCGTCCCCCGCACATCCGGTTAGCACGATTGGCTACGTACGGTGCGATAGAAGTTCAACATACAGTATACACATAGAGGATCCACTGACTAACTTAGAGGGCTGTTTAATTGACAGTGTTCCTGTTGAATTACATACACTCATAGGCTTACATAGAGACCCGGAGACTGGCAAAGTGACCCATAAACTCGCAGAGCGATCCATAAACCCACAATAACCGAGGAGCGATTGGTGAGTTGATTGTCTCCGCCTGGTCACCAAATATCATAGAGACCCCATAGACTGCATAGAGACCCCCATAGACTGACAGAGAGACTCGTAGACTTACACATAAACACAGACTCACACGGAGATCATAGACTCGCACAGATAACTAGATGGAGGCATCATCACGGCGATAATTCAACTCCTAATGCAATCATCTGACTCAATCACCTCAATGTAAATACACAGCTGTTGCTCTACGTCAACACCAGCCACACGAAGATGAAGATTGAGATCCAGAGATTCACACCGAGACCCACACACTCACACAGATAATTATCATAGACTTGCACAGAGACCCATAGACTGACACAGACCCATACACTCACATAGAGACCCATAGACTCACACTGAGAACCATAGACTCACACAGAGACACATACACTCACACAGAGACCCAAAGACTCACACAGAGACCCATACATTCACATAGAGACCCATAGACTCGCATAGGCTGAGTTGTGATTAAACCGGGTTCTCAAGTGTAGTGAGTTCATGCTCTGCACTAACAAACCACCACATTCAATTTTGGCTTTTTCACTGAATTTCACCAAACGTCCGGCTCCGACAATGAAAAGTGTTGTTATTTTGCCTGCCAAGCGACAGACATTGTCCACGTGGCAGGATTGCGTGGGGAAGAGTGCAGCGACGGCCTGGGGTATGGACAGAGGCAAAATTATCGACGGGGTGCTCAGAAATAATGGTTGTGCGGTATCCCCCGTCCGCGGGGTCCAACGGTCGCGAGCGCATTTGGAATGAGATTTGTAAAAAAAAAAAATTACCACGGAGCAGCGCTTCATTATGGCACCCGCTGTGACGTCACATCACCCTGTGACGTCAAATCGCTCGCTGTGACGTCACATAGCTTGCTGTGACGTCACACGTTTTCACCGCGGCCACTCGAGCTCTCGTTCTTATTACGGCGCAGGGAGGCGCGACAGCCGCGGCGGTTTCACGGTCGGGGAGTGGGGGGAGGGCTATGTTGAAAAAGAGCTTCATAGCTCATCGGATTCGTCCAGTGTGAATACAAATCAGCGGCGTAATCATCGTTGTTTCTTTTAACATTCGGACTGCGGCGACGCCGACAAACGCCAAATGGCCGACTCTCTCCAAAAATGGCGTCAAGCGGAAGCCTTTAAACGTCCGCTGTGACGCAGACGGCGTTGCCGCCGATACTTCCGCTGGCTGCCGCTGGCTGCCGCGCGCTCACAGCGAGGGGCTCGTGAGGCCCCAGGCACTCCGCGGCGTCACTGCCGACCACCCGCCCTCCGGAGCACCGTCAAACCCCCTTTCACGTTCCGATGACGCCTGCAGGTTTGGCGGTGGGCCGGCTTGCCCGCTCACCGCCGAATCTCGGAGTGCGCGAGCGGACCCGGCGTTCATCTTATGTGGGGATGCGTGGCGCCGCTGGCTTTTTCGTCCTGTTCAAAAGGACATTGCACTGTGTACTCGCGGCCGAGAACTGTCGAGACACGACCGCCGCAACCCCACGACGACTGGCGCCAAACTGCGCCACGCACAGCCCTCCCCGCGTGGCCTTTCACTTCCGCCTCCGTTCCGATGACTAACACGCGCGTGCGCCATCGTGAATGGGGGAGGAGGGTTTACCCGGGGCGGCCTGCCGGATCCCGACCACGAACCGCGCTGCCGCTGGGCCGTGTCACCGGCGCCCTCCGTCGGCGCTCAACCGAGGCGAGACGTCAACGAGCGGGCGACTCTCGCGTTGGGCCAGAGGAGGAGGCTTGCAAGCGAACCCACAGAAGCCTTCATCAAACGTTGCTGCGACGTCGCTGCGAAGCCACAATGCTTGCGCCGAAAACATGATTGATTTTTTTTCACCACGAAGCTGCAAAACAAAACCCCGCCGTCGGACGGACCAGAGACACGGGACGCAGCGGGAGCCGTGTGAAGATGCCTCGACTCGCCGCTCGATTCGCCTGCGAGCGACGCGTGCCATTTGAATGCTACGCGGGCGAAACGTTAAACGTTGGTAAGCGGGGCGGGTGTGAGGCCCCACTCGTCACCCACACTCACTCGCTCGCTCGCCCTGTCACACTCACGCAAACACTCACACACTCACACCCTCTCACACAAAGACAAAGATCCCCCGTATAGCCGTAACAGACTGTCAAAGCAAGTGCTGTTAGCGAGCACCTATAAAGGTCGGCCGGCATGGCACACGAGGGCGAGGGCGGCCATCACGACGCCAGGTCGTCTTTGTCTCGCCCTTGGCGATGTTTACACAGCGCACCAGGTACTCATGCGAGACCGAGTCGACATATATAGTTTGTTGTCCTTCCCCCGCAACTCCGTTCAGCACGGTTGGCTGCATACGGTGCGCGCAAGAAGTTCAACGTACATACAAACATACATACCGGGGAGGCCCCGGGACCACTTCAGATACTCGTCACTAGTGTCGGTGGCCGTGAGTGGGAATCGAACCCAGGTGGGTGGGTTGGTCGCGCAGCGCGCTAACCGTCACGCCACCGCTCCCCGCAAATTACTCACCAACACAATCGCTCTCTCTCTCTCACTTCGACACTTGCACACTCCACACACTCACTCGCCACAAGACACTCATGAATCACACACCAGGCACACTCACCCCCTCGCCACTGAGCCACTCATCGCCACTCCCTCCGCTCGTGCAGGAATTGGATCGCCGCTCGTGTGCGGTGTCGTGAGCGGTGCCCATCCGGCGCATCGTCGTGCCCCAGCCCACCTCCACCGTCCAACGCAGTGAGATGCTGCGGGTGAGATGATGCGAGTGAGATGACGCGGGTGATATGCTGCTAGTGAGATGATGCTAGTGAGATGATGCGGGTGAGATGATGCGGGTGAGATGCTGCGGGTGAGATGATGCGAGTGAGATGACGTGGGTGAGATGATGCGGGTGATATGCTGCTAGTGAGATGACGCGGGTGAGATGCTGCTAGTGAGATGATGTGGGTGAGATGATGCGAGTGAGATGCTGCGGTTGAGATGATGCTAGTGAGATGACGTGGGTGAGATGATGCGGGTGATATGCTGCTAGTGAGATGACGCGGGTGAGATGCTGCTAGTGAGATGATGCGGGTGAGATGATGCGAGTGAGATGATGCGGGTGAGATGATGCTAGTGAGATGACGTGGGTGAGATGATGCGGGTGAGATGATGCGGGTGATATGATGCGGGTGAGAAGCCAATGTTGCATTCGGGCTAACGTAGCGAACGAGCATCGAGCGAGAGGCGATACGAGACGAGGAATCCTCACGGAGTTTGGTGAGGAGGTCACTCACGAAGGCGGGGGGGGGGGAGGTCAAGGAAATCGTGAATGTGAATGGAGTCGGGAGAGACTCGGAAAGCCGTGGGCTGGTTGGTGACTTGCGTCCCATTCGGAGCGCCCACTTTGTTCCCTTTCAACTTCAGTTGGGAGTGGGGGGGGGGGCGGGGAAAGGGGGGGGGGGTGGAGGAGGATGGGGAGGGGGGTAACCACGTGACCATATCCCGTGACCTCTCCGTGAAATTTGTATAAAACCACTGGTGACGAGATCGGGAGGGTGGCCTTCAAATCGGAGCGACGATAAGAACGGTGAGCGATCATCCTCACATTGCCTCCGGAGGGATCTGTGGGGGGAATCAAGGGGGGGGGGGGGGGAGGTGATCCCCCCTTCCCCATACGCTCCCATCCTTGGGACCCCGACTACTGGTATGCCGTTGGTATGCTACCGGAGAAGAGACATTGAGCGTTTTTAACATTGACGCGGGGCCCTGTTCAAAAGGCTTGGATATATCACAACTGCCCTGTCCTCCTCCACCCCCCTCACACCCCCACTTTGGAAGTTCCCAGATCCGCCTCTGGGAGGGATGAACCGCGCGACATGCATAGTAAGGGGTGAACACAAATTCACCATTCCCCCCCCCCCGTACCCCCCCCCCCCCACCTTCTCTTCCGGCCATTGTTGGTGAGGGACAGCGGCCTCTCGTGGTTTGCGGGGGGCGGTGGTGGGGTCACTCGGACCCCCACGGCGCTCGCGACGGGGTCGAATCTCCGACGTTGCGAGCGAAGGCGGCCGCGACCACGATCGGCGGGCCCCTCGCGATGACGCGGCCCCCTCCCCGCGACCCCCCACCCCCCCCCCCCCCGCGGGGCCTCCTCCCACGAAGCCGAGTCCAGTGCAAGCGATTTCGCGCAGAATCCCAGAATGTCCCGTTACATCCATCCGTGCGGCGCCACCGCGGCGTCGCCCCCCCCCCCCCATCCCCGCCCCCCGCACCCCTCTCCGGAGAGACGGGAAGGTCACGCGCTGTCCGACGAGGTGTGCGGCGCCATCGACGAGGAGGAGGACGACGAGTGGGCCCTCCTGCGGGGAGACATCCCCACCGCCGGGTCGTCCAGCCCCGCCTGCCGGTGCCAGGCAAAGTGTCCGGCGTACGCCACGGCCGCCGCCGCCGCCACCGGCGCCGCCGCCAGCTGCTGCTGCTGCTGCTGCTGTGGATGATGGAGGAGCTGTTGGTGGTGGAGCTGTTGGTGGTTTGGCTGCTGCTGCTGCTGCTGCTGCTGTTGGTGCTGCCGGAAGCGCGAGAGCTGCGCTTCGAGGGCCTCGCGCTGCCGCTGGCCCACGGCGTGGCCCACGAGGTCGGGCAGCTCGCGGAGGCCGCCTGCCAGCGCGTCCAGCTTGCTCTCGAGCTCCGCGAGCCGGCGCTCCGTGTCCTCGCCCCGCTCGTGCATGTCCACCACCATGTCGTACATGATGCTTTGGTACTGGGGGGGGGGCGGGGGGTCAAGTGGAGTTGTTGTTGTTGTTGTCGGTCGAGCCACCCTCATCTGCGCCGGTGGCATCTCAACAGCTCGTTAACAGGCGACTGGCGACTCGCACCGCATCGAATCCCAACGCATTCGAAAAAGGGCACCCCAAAGTGGCTCAAGGCGACTCGGCCCGTGGCCTCCTGCGAGCGGGTGTTAGAAGGGGGGGGGGGTGATGATGGCTACGTGGTCTAGCGTTCGGGCACTCCCAAGTGGCACCTGACCCTGCGTGGCACAAGCCGACTCGTCAGTAGGGGGCTACGTGCGTGTGCGGTGTGTGTGCGGTGTTCGTTTTCGCGAATTTTTGCCACATTTGGACCACGACGCCGGCGCGGGATGGCCGACTGGATTCGAACGACGTTCGGGGAGGGACCGTTCGACGTCCGCTGTGAAACAGGCGGCGCGTGGCGTTCGCACGGTTTAACACAGCCGCGGCATTAACCAGGGCGGCCCGCCGGAGTTGAACCGCGAACCTCTGCGATCTCTAACGTCCACCTGCGGGCAGTGACGGCGGCTGTGGCGTGTTATTGGCACGGCAAACGCTGCGTGCGTGCGCGTGCGTGCCCGTAATATTGACCGCAGCGTGGCAATCCCGGGCCATGTCCACGATGAATCCACCCAACAAGGCGCCGGGTTAGCCATGTCCTGAGCACACCGCTGAGCTACGTGGCGCTTTGGTCAGAAGCCCAACAAAGTGGATTATCATCACGTGGAAATGTAGAGCAGCCAAATACTCATAAACGATTGTAAATGTGGAGGGGAAAAAAACGGAGGACCCGGAGAAAAATCCACTCGGCCACGAGAAGAGAGACACGCAAACTCTAAATACGCAGCAGGCGTCAGGGTCGGGATCGAACCCACGACCTCCTGTATACCAGGCGAGGTAGTTAACATCTCCTAGCCACCGTGATGATGATGAGAGAGACACGCAAACTTCAAATATACAGCAGGCGTCAGGGTCGGGATCGAACCCACGACCTTCCGCATACCAGGCGAGGTAGTTAACATCTCCTAGCCACCGTGATGATGATGAGAGAGAGAGACATGCAAACTCCAAATATACAGCAGGCGTCAGGGTCGAGATCGAACCCGCGACCTCCTGTATACCAGGCGAGGTAGTTAACATCTCCTAGCCACCGTGATGATGATGAGAGAGAGAGACATGCAAACTCCAAATATACAGCAGGCGTCAGGGTCGGGATGGAACCCACGACCTCCCGCATACCAGGCGAGGTAGTCAACATCTCCTAGCCACCGTGATGATGATGAGAGAGACACGCAAACTTCAAATATACAGCAGGCGTCAGTGTCGGGATCGAACCCACGATCTCCTGTATACCAGGCGAGGTAGTTAACATCTCCTAGCCACCGTGATGATGATGAGAGAGACACGCAAACTTCAAATATACAGCAGGCGTCAGTGTCGGGATCGAACCCACGTCCTCCTGTATACCAGGCGAGGTAGTTAACATCTCCTAGCCACCGTGATGATGATGAGAGAGAGAGAGAGACACGCAAACTCCAATATACAGCAGGCGTCAGGGTCGGGATCGAACCCGCGACCTCCTGTATACCAGGCGAGGTAGTTAACATCTCACCATCGCGACGGCGGTGGCGAGGGGATGGTGTCGCATCGCACCGCTCGTGCATTATTCACGGCGGCGTCGTTCACAACGTGAGACATCACTTAGCGGGGGCTGGGGCTCACCGCTCAGCGGGACACGGCGGCGGCAGGGAGGAAGAGAGGACAGGGTGGGGGGTGGGGGTGGTGGGTGGGGGGTGGGTAGTGGGTGGGGGGTGGGGGTGGGGGGTTGGTGGTGGGTGGAAGTTGTGGGTGGATGGCGAGGGAGGGTGGGAGGGTGGGGGGGGTGGGGGGGCGGGGAGGTTGGCAGAGGGGGGAGGGACGGGGGTGGATGGGTGGGTGGGGGGCACGGGATCGAAGTTGTGGGTGGATGGTGGGGGGGGTGGAAGTTGTGGGTGGATGGTGGGGGGGGGAGGGAGCCGACTGGGCATTCGTTGCCAAAACAATTTAGCGGAGTGCAGTGGAGGGGAGCGGCAAGATCGCTTCATCACTGCCATTAGGCACTCCGCGATATTCCTAGTGGGGGCATCTAAAATAAAGACTCTTGAGAATACAATTAAATATATAACAAGAGTTGGGCGGTGACGTTTATCTGATCCGGTGCTGGGCCTCCCCTAGGTCGACTCAACCTCAAATGATTACCTGGTGCGGTGTGCAGTAAACATCGTCACCGGGGAGACAAAGGCGGCCGGGCGTGGTGCTGGCCACCCGCCAAACCTCGTGTGCCGTGCCGGCCTTCGTCGGCGCTCGCTAACAGCACTTGCCCCAACAGTCTGTTACAGGCTACACGGGGGATATTTGTCTTTGGTGTGATCGGTGCTCGCTAACAGCACTTGCCCCTACAGTCTGTTACAGGCTACACGGGGGATCTTTGTCTTTGGTGTGATCGGTGCTCGCTAACAGCACTTGCCCCTAGTCTGTTAAGGCTGCACGGGGGATCTTTGCCTTTGGTGTGATCGGTGCTCGCTAACGCACTTGCCCCAACAGTGCGTGGGGGGGGGGGGGTTACTCTGTGATGGGCCAGGGTTCGTTTAAACACAACAGCAACAAAATCTGCACCATCTGATGAGAATGGCGCTATGAGGTCACCGCGTGGGGATCGCGGCTGAATCTCCAGCGTCGGGTTCCATCGCGGTTAATGGCACGGCCCAAAACACCGAGCCCGCACCCACACACACACGCGCGCACGCACACGCACACACGCACGCACACACGCACACACACACGCACACACACACGCACACACACACGCACACACACACGCACACACACACGCACACACACACGCACACACACACGCACACACACACGCACACACACACGCACACACACACGCACACACACACACGCACACACGTACACGCACACACACGCGCGCACACACGCACACACGCACACACACACACACGCACACACACACGCACGCACACGCACACACACACGCACACACACGCACACACACACACGCACACACACGTACACGCACACACACGCGCGCACACACGCACACACGCTTACCAATCACTCACCACCAACACACTCACCAATCACACACATCACTCACCACCAACACACTCACCAATCACATCCACCACTCACTCACCACCAACACGCTCACCAATCACACACATCACTTGCTCACTCACCACCAACACGCTCACAAATCACACACATCACTCACTCACCACCAACACACTCACCAATCACACCCATCACTCACGCACTCACCACCAACACACTCACCAATCACACCCATCACTCACGCACTCACCACCAACACGCTCACCAATCACACCCATCACTCACATACTCACCACCAATACACTCACCAATCACACCCATCACTCACCACCAACACACTCATCAATCACACCCATCACTCACCACCAACACGCTCACCAATCACACTCATCACTCACGCACTCACCACCAACACGCTCACCAATCACACCCACCACTCACGCACTCACCACCAACACACTCACCAATCACACCCATCACTCACGCACTCACCACCAACACGCTCACCAATCACACCCATCACTCACTCACCACCCACACGCTCACCAATCACACCCATCACTCACTCACCACCCACACGCTCACCAATCACACCCATCACTCACTCACCACCAACACGCTCACCAATCACACCCACCACTCACGCACTCACCACCAACACACTCACCAATCAAACCCATCACTCACTCACTCACCACCAACACGCTCACCAATCACACCCATCACTCACGCACTCACCACCAACACGCTCACCAATCACACCCACCACTCACGCACTCACCACCAACACGCTCACCAATCACACCCATCACTCACTCACCACTAACACACCAATCACACCCATCACTCACTCACGACCAACACGCTCACCAATCACACCCATCACTCACGCACTCACCACAAACACGCTCACCAATCACACCCATCACTCACTCACTCACCACCAACACGCTCACCAATCACACCCATCACTCACTCACTCACCACAAACACGCTCACCAATCACACCCATCACTCACGCACTCACCACCAACACGCTCACCAATCACACCCATCACTCACGCACTCACCACAAACACGCTCACCAATCACACCCATCACTCACTCACTCACCACCAACACGCTCACCAATCACACCCATCACTCACGCACTCACCACAAACACGCTCACCAATCACACCCATCACTCACTCACTCACCACCAACACACTCACCAATCACACCCATCACTCACTCACTCACCACAAACACGCTCACCAATCACACCCATCACTCACTCACTCACGACCAACACGCTCACCAATCACACCCATCACTCACTCACCACTAACACACCAATCACACCCATCACTCACTCACGACCAACACGCTCACCAATCACACCCATCACTCACGCACTCACCACAAACACGCTCACCAATCACACCCATCACTCACTCACCACCAACACGCTCACCATCACACCCATCACTCACGTACTCACTCACGACCAACACGCTCACCAATCACACCCATCACTCACTCACTCTCCACCCACACGCTCACCAATCACACTCATCACTCACGCATTCACCACCCACACGCTCACCAATCACACCCATCACTCACGCACTCACCACCCACACGCTCACTCACCACTAACACGCTCACCAATCACACCCATCACTCACTCACTCACCACAAACACTCTCACCAATCACACCCATCACTCACTCACGACCAACACGCTCACCAATCACACCCATTACTCACTCACCACCAACACACCAATCACACCGATCACTCACTCACCACCAACACGTTCACCAATCACACCCATCACTCACTCACTCACCACCAACACGCTCACCAATCACACCCATCACTCACTCACTCACCACCCACACGCTCACCAATCACACCCATTACTCACTCACTCACCACCCACACGCTCACCAATCACACTCATCACTCACACACTCACCACCCACACGCTCACCAATCACACTCATCACTCACGCACTCACCACCCACACGCTCACCAATCACACTCACCACTCACGCACTCACCACCAACACGCTCACCAATCACACACATCACTCACGCACTCACCACCCACACGCTCACCAATCACACTCATCACTCACGCACTCACCACCAACACGTTCACCAATCACACCCATCACTCACTCACTCACCACCAACACGCTCACCAATCACACCCATCACTCACTCACCACCCACACGCTCACCAATCACACCCATCACTCACTCACCACCAACACGCTCACCAATCACACCCATCACTCACTCACCACCCACACGCTCACCAATCACACCCATCACTCACTCACTCACCACCCACACGCTCACCAATCACACCCATCACTCACTCACCACCCACACGCTCACCAATCACACCCATCACTCACCACCAACACGCTCACCGATCACGCTCAAAGGACACACTCACACGCTCACCACAGTCGCTCATCACACTCACTCGCTCACCACACCCACCACACTCACACCCCCACCACACACACGCTCACCCACCTTCGCCATGTCCACCAGCGTGTTCGCCTGATCCGTCAACTTCCGTTGCTCCATCTTCACGCTCCTCAGCCTGCCAGTCACAGCGCACGGCACGCACGCGGCTCAGCCAACGATGGCAACACCGCCACCAAAGCCGACATCACCACCACCACCAAACCCACCACCACCACCACCAAACCCACCACCACCACCACCACCAAACCCACCATCACCACCACCACCACCAAACCCTCCATCACCACCACCAAACCCTCCATCACCACCACCACCACCACCAAACCCACCATCACCACCACCAAACCCACCATCATCACCACCACCAAACCCACCATCATCACCACCACCACCAAACCCTCCACCACCACCAAACCCACCATCACCACCACCACCGCCACCACCAGCACACGGGCATGCACACTGCTCACCAAACCATGCCGACACCGTCACTACCACGACTACCACCACCAGCGCCACCATCACCATCAACACTATCACCACTAACATCGCCACCACAACCATCACCACCATGACTACCACCACAAACGCCACCATCACCACCATCACCACGACCAGCACCACCACCGCCATCACGGCAAAAGGCACGTAATCTGATGGCACTCCTGTTAATGCTCGCTGTCCAGTGGGTCAGTCATGGATAGAGATACGCTGACGGTGAGGTTGTGGAGGATAATGTGCGTGTTTATAAACCATCGAGCGTGTCGGAACAACACCAGGCCGGTGCTGCACCACGTCTCCTTCATGAATGGAAAATTAAATGCACGATCCACGGTGTCCGTTCTGTGGCCACGCAACGCAAACTCTGGACCCACACAGTAAACCCACAGAGAGTCGAGGACATACACTTTGATATGTATACTCATAGAGATATAGAGATTCATAGGGATACATAGCGACCCATAGAGATAAATAGAGATGCACAGAAATACATTTAGACTCGTAGAGATACGTAGAGGCTTGTAGCGATACAGAGACCCATCGAGATAAATAGAAAACCATAGAGATATATTGACACTCGAAGAGATACATAGAGACCCATAGAGATACATAGATTCCCGTAGAGATACATAGAGAAGACAAGAGCCACAGTAGTGGGTCTGTGGTCATGCAACACAAACTCTGGACCCACAGAGGAAGACACTATACATATTGATACATATTGATACACTATACATGTTGATACATATTGATACACTATACATATTGATACATAGAAACGCATGGAGATACGTCGAGACTTATCGAGACTCAAAGATACATTGACGCTCGTAGAGATGGAGACCCATAGAGATAAACAGAGACCCCTAGACATAAATTCAACACACGAGCCACGGGAGTGTAATTGTGGCCATGGGAAGCAAACGACAGACCGCACAGTGAACCCACTGTCGGCTGCGGTGCTTAAACGGAGGAGGAAGAGCGAAACGACACGAACTCTCTCTCTCTTTCTCTGTCTCTCTGTGTCTCTCTGTCTCTCTCTTTTTACGATCAGAGAAAACAAGAAGATGCTCGGTGTAGGCGGCACTTTGCTTCGTTCATTTCGGTGTTTTTATTTTTTTGTGCTTTGCTTCATGTAAACCCTCCCCCCCCCCTTTTAATGAAAGATTTAACAAAAGCTCTCTCTCTCTCTGTCTCTCTCTCTTTGTCTCTCTGTCTCTCTCTCAGGGAGGATCTGCCCCACCAGTACTTACGCTGCCAGCGGCTCAAACCAAAGTTCCGCCTTTTGGGGGACATCTTCAGGAAACTGGGGGTGCCCTTCTACCACAGCAGCTTCGTATATGGAGTGGTGCCTTACCTGGCTAACAAGCGCCATGACCTCGCCAACTTCGCCTGTGCTCAGGCGAAGTTGGCGGTGGTACAGAACAAGGTAAAAAGACGCTGCAAGGTGACACTGACGGCTGCTCTGTGCTGCTTCCAGTGTTCAGGGGCCTGCTCAAGGCGCGGCTCCGGCTGGAGCACGCCACGTACCACACACACGTGTCGGTGATGTGCAGCGCGTCTTCTTCGAACGCTGGGGGCCGGACAAGCCCCTCTCTGTACCAGCGTGGACGGCACCCTCATGTAAGTCTATGGGCAATGTAAGTCTATGGGCAATGTAAGTCTATGGGCAATGTAAGTCTATGGGCAATGTTAGTCTATGGGCAATGTGAGTCTATGGGCAATGTGAGTCTATGGGCAATGTTAGTCTATGGGCAATGTTAGTCTCTGGGCTGTCTTAGTCTATGGGCTGTCTTAGTCTATGGACAATGTAGTCTATGGGTAATGTTAGTCTATAGATAATGCTAGTCTATGGGCAATGTAAGTCTATGGTTAATGTTAGTCTATGGACAATGTAGTCTATGGGCAATGTTAGTCTTTGGGCTGTCTTAGTCTATGGACAATGTTAGTCTATGGGCAATGTTAGTCTATGGGCTGTCTTAGTCTATGGACAATGTAGTCTATGGGCAATGTTAGTCTTTGGGCTGTCTTAGTCTATGGACAATGTTAGTCTATGGGCAATGTAAGTCTATGGGCAATGTAAGTCTATGGGCAATGTAAGTCTATGGGCTGTCTTAGTCTATGGACAATGTTAGTCTATGGGCACAAACTCTCTCTCTGCTGAAGCCCTCTCTGTCTCTCTCTCTCGTCATACCCAGCAGCAGCAGCAGCAGGAGAGCTCGACATTGCTTGCCCGTGTCTCTATGACGCACTCCTACCGTTCCCGTATGTAGCCTTTGTTGTCGTAGTAACTTTCTGACCACCCGACCCAACCGGACATCTGTGAAAGAGAGCTTCATGGCTCATCGGATTTCCCCTGCAATCTAAATAAACACTCCGATCTTGAAATCGAGCAACTGGATCGCTGATGCTGCGGCCATTGCGGGCGAAACCAGAGTGGCATTTTATTTCCTTTAACCACAGCGGGTGTCCCCTCTCTCGCTCTTGCTCTAAATCGCGCTCTCTCGCCCCTCTCTCTCTCTCGCCCTCTCTCTCTTTCTCCATCTTGCCCTCTCTCTCTCTCGCCCTCTCTCTCAATCGCTCTCTCACACTCTCTTGCTCTCTCTCGCTCTCTCGCCCTCTCTCTCTCAATCGCTCTCTCACACTCTCTCGCTTTCTCTCTCTCTCTCCCGTAGCCAAACGCTGCAGTGACCTCCAGTGGAGGTTAGTGCGCCGGACGGTGCCCTCGGCCGTGTCGCTCAGCCGAATCTCCCCAGGGGCACCAGACTCTTGTGCATACTGCGCTGCCAGGGAGGATCTCGACCACCAGTATTTGGAGTGTCCGCAGCTGAACCCAATGTTCCGGCTTTTGGGGTCCTTTTTTAGGAGACTGGAGGTGCATTTTTTACAAACGCAGTTTCATATTTGGGGGTGGGGGGTGGGAGGGGGGTGCCTTTCCTGGCTCATAAGCGCCACGATTGTGCCAACTTCCTCTGTGCCCAAGCAAAAGAAGTCGAAGTTTACCAGAAGAAGAGAGGCTGCAAGGCGACGCTGGCGGCCGCCCAGCGGCGGTGGCGATGTCGAGGGGGGCCTGCTCAAGGCACGGATCCGGCCGGAGCACGCGAGGCACTCCAATGCCGGGGGGCCGGTCAAGCCCTCTGCACCGGCGCGGACGTCACTCTGAACTGTACTTGTTGACGAGGCGGTGTCTGTGATGCGCGTGGCGCGCGCAGTGCCACGTGACGCGGGTAGCGTTTGTGACGTGCACGCGTGACGCTGTACTCGACGCGACTTTGCATCGAGAATCGGATCCAGTGCTTCTGCTGCTGGCAGCAGTGAAAGTGGTTTAAAACTCAACTCTCTCGCTCGCTCACTGGGGATCCGGAGAGAAGCCCCTCTCTGTACCAGCGTGGACGGCACCCCACGTGTTCACCTTCTGAAGCGCCCGCTCGTCACCGTGACGTGCGCGATGACCACCACCACCACGTGACTTTTCTTTCGTGTTGTGCGCGGTGCTTTTAGCGCCGCAGCTGCATGGATTTATAGCAATGATTTTCATTTGTGTTGCTGGTGACTTTGTGTGTTTCATATCGAAATCGCCTCCAGCGCTGTTGCTGCTGGCGGCAATAAAAGTTGTTTAAAAAGGCAAAAGTCTCACTCTCTCAATCGCTCTCCCAATTGTTCTCTCAGACTCTCGCACTCTCTCTCTCACTGTCAACGCTCTTTCTCACACACACTCTCTTGCTCTCACACACTGTCATGCTCTCTCACACACTGTCACGCTCGCTCTCTCTCTCCTCTCACACTCTCACTCTCCACACGTTCTCAATCACCGTGTTCATGAATAACAGATACAACTCACGTTAGCTGATTAGGTTTGTGAATGTGAAATCTCGCCTGTTCCTTTTTCATAACTAAAGCTGTAAATCCCTCTGTACAACAACATCGTCATTATCACAATCGTCCATCATTAACCCTTCATCCACTACCATCATATTCCTTTGTGTTTCCTGATCGTCTACATCAGCCCATCATCATCAGCCTATCATCGTCACTATGTAGAATGCACGAGTTTAGAGTATTTGTCTGGTATAAATGTCCACGTGATGATGAGCCACTTCGTTGAAGCTATCATTTGTGATGGACAGGTCACTTCTGGAAAAGAGCTGCATAAGTTAGTGGGCCTTACCTGGTCAAATAAAAAAGAAATTGTTTAATTACATGGCCATCATCAACATCATATCCCTTTGAATTCACCATCAACATATTAACACCATCATCATTATCCCTGTCTTTCTCATCATCACTATTACATGGTCATCATCATAACACTATGCAACACGATTTTTGTTCCTGGGTAGAAGTGTTATTTTCTAATTGCTTATGCCTCAAAAGTATAGAAAATGGCTATTATTATTATTATTATTCCCCACAAACTTACTTTTGTGACCAGGACGTTTTCTCATCGAAAATAGGTACATTTCAAAATATCACTGTCCTGGTCACAGAAGCCAAGTTTGTGGGGAATAACAATATAAATTTTCTGTACTTTAAAGGCACACGCAATTGGAAAATAAGACTTAGTACCCACGAAGAAAAAAAACTTTTTTTTTGTTACACAGAGTAATCCTCACA